AATCCAAGGACTATAAGCTTCATTAAAGAAAAGCTTGGAAGAACTCTAGTAGTCCTAATCCACAACATAAAAAGTCTTCCAAGTATCCTGAGAAATCTACAACCAGGAGAAGGAAAAATAGATGAATGGGACCTTCTAAGAATCAAATCCCTATGCACATCCAAAAACTTCTCCAACAGGGTAAAAAGGGAAGTCACAGACTGGAAAAAGTATTTGAGAATGACATGTCAGATAAGGGATTTATATCTAGAATTTATAAAATACTTGAGCACCACAACAAGATAAAGGTAAATAATCCAGTTCTTTTCTGTCACTATGCTATACTGAGGTAATCCGGGGTTGCTGTGATGCTGAACCTTGTGCCACTGGGGTGTCAAATGCCATAGCCATTACCCATGGTGGACAGTGTTTGGTGGAGCTCCCAGTTTAAGACAGGTTTGGAAACATGAGTGGCGTCCACTTCCTAAACAACACACCTCTGACCTTTGATAAACAACTATAACTAGAGAGGCGTCAGGCCCTTTTGTTCATAGGTCACTGTATGTCCTGCTTGACCGGAAGGTAATCAACAACAAGAATGGGTCTATCTGAACAGACCTATAAATCCACACACAGGAAATGACTAAAGAACATACCTTTTACCATAACGGTGAGGAACAAATTTTAAAAAGGAGCCAAAGCATACTTCAAGACTGCTATGATTATCATTTTATGTAAATCAGCCTTGAGAGTGCAAACTTCCCTAATTACATCAAGACACCTAACTGCAATGAGGCTGGTTGGAACCTATGGAGGGAGAGGCCAAGTGACTGCATTGAATCAACAAAGACAAAATGGGTATGGTTACTGTAATGGCCAAAATAATCAAAGCAGTAATCAGGATAGTATGGCCCATATAATTTATGGCATTAGCTATTTAGTCTTTAGGAATAAGCCTACAAAATCCTTGTTTTGTACCAGTGGAAAGATAATAAGTTTGGTGAAGAGCAATCTAACTTAAACCATCAGAACAGAGAGTCACAGACCAGACAGTAAACAGTGATCAACTTTACAGATTCACAACCCCTTGAATGAAGAGGAGGGCTGGCCCCTGTGAAGAAGGATCTTAATATAGTGATCTTAACAGACTGTTTATAAAGTCTTACCCAACTTTGCTTAAAAGGATATAAGACCCTTTAGAAAAGTGACTGTTTATTGAGGAAAAGAAAATCTTCAAACTTTTAAAGGCTTACTAGACATCAGCTCTGAACGGACACTAATTTCTGGAGACTTAAATATCACTGTGGGAAACCAGAGGGGACATATGGAGGTCTGGTTACTGACAGAGTCATAGCTCAGGTTCAGG